GAAAGATTGCTTCTCACCGACATTTTACTATTAAAACAAGCCGGACAGTCTTGTTACATTTTATAAGGCAGTGGACTCTTTGTATTTCAATATAAGATTCTTTGGGTTGCTGACCTTACCCTGTCCCCTCTTCCACTTGTTGTTAGTATAATTGCATTGACTGTCAAAGACTGTATTTAGTATCTAAGGAAAGGAAAATATCCAGCTAGCTTACAAATGGTCAGTGATTCCTTTTAAGTGCCTGTTTGTTAAACAGAACATCTCTTGCAATAATTTTACATGTTATAAACCCATTAAAAACATTGTGAAAAATAGGTTGACAATAAGCATGCTGAGTTTGCTTTTAATGTCCTTGTAATGGCCGATTTTACCATGTTATATTGTTGTGATGACTTAATGACTTCTCATCTGATAGTTTGACATTGACCTTCGATGATCATGTGACTTTAGGAAAGCAGACTTTTTCTCCATCGTACAAAACCTTATTAAGCTGGATTTATAATTATGACAGCCATATATGGAATTCTTAGGGGAAATTATAGCCCATTTTTACATCCTATTGTTTCTCTTTCATAACGGCTGACATTCCGCCATCTTGGCCATTCTGCCATTCTGTTTATTTTCTGAACAGTATTTACATAATGAGAGATTTATTGGTTCACAAAATTGTACATTTTTTGTTTAAAACTGATTGTTTCTGAACAGAAAATTTTGTTTTTATGAGACAAATTTATATGCCTGTGTAAACAGCAATTTAAAAGAAAGCAATTTAATACAGTGTCATTGTGCCTTCAAGGACAGTAATTTTACAGTCTTATCAGCAAGGGGCAACAACTTTTTACTCTAACTTACAAGGGCAGCAATTTGACAGTCCTGCCAGCAAGGGGCAACAACTTTTCACTCTGGCTGGCAAGGGCAGCATTATTATATTTTAACCTGCAACTTAAGGCAGCATTTTAACTCTTTATTATAAATTTCCTTACTTTCTTACTAGTAAAAGCATTGATTTTACACTATTGCCACCAAGGGCAGCAACTTTTCACAATCATCCTCAAATACATGGTATGTGTGATCAACAGCATATTATGTTGATTCTCACCCTAGAATTACAAAATTTACTTATTAGTCTGAAGAAGAAAGGGAAAACAAGATTCATTCAGGACATTTCCCTTTTTAGGCAATCAAAATGGCATAATTCCACATTTCCTTTTTAGGCAATTGAAATGGCATTGTTCCAGTCTCTGCTACAATTACTTAACATGACTTCATGACTTTTAGTGTGATTGTAATGAGAAGCTGTTCTCGCGAAGAATGAGTCGTACTTGTACAAACATCTTGTGTACTATCTGAGGGCAGGAAGGTATTACCAAAACAGCACCTGTTCAACTTAAATCTGAAGCTTTTCATATACACGAATTACACATATTACAAATTGGGTACTCAAGCATCATGGCTGTTATTATGCATGACTTATTTTAACCCTTTGAAAATATATTAGAGGTTTTATCTGACTGGCATTGATGTCACTTAAGTACAAGGCCAGGCCAGCCAGCAAATCTGGGAGGAGGAGTCTGATTTAAATCTTATGATGTATTACTAAAACTTTACTATTCTAGCATTTTGATTTAATAAAACATCATAATATAGTACTGAGACAGTTCCAAGAGTGCAACTGAAGTTCATTATGTAAATTTAGCTTAGTCAAGGTGTTTTTTTTGTTTTTTTTTAAAGAAGTTCATCAGCTGATTTGTTTCAACATGTGATTTGTAGTCAAATTGTAATCACATTTTATTTTTTATATTATAGTCTTTGACCAAGTCATTATTGCAGGTGCAATGTGAAATAAGTGTGCTATAAATGTCACATGTCGCATAAATGTCACATGTCGTATTTAATTAGGTCAGCAGTCCGCTGTTTAACATGTTCAGTAAGCAGGCTTTATTTTATGTTCAATCCGCGCTAATTTGTTTTTTGTCTCTAAGTCGCAATTATAATTGGATTTTTGTCTCCCTTTGCCACTAATTGGATCTCTCATATTATTGTTAAGATGGACAAAGAGAAATCTGTTTGTCAGCTAGATGTTTTTTCAATTTCCTAGTAAATCAAAGAAATTTTGAAATCATTAGTTAAGTTACGACTGGGGAAAAACTAAATGAAATGCGCTTCTGTTTTATTTTGAAAAAATAATGCTTTAGAGTTTTGGCTTTTAATTGATTAATTAAAAGATGATTTATGCTTAAAACAAAAAACAGGAACAGGTGTTTTGTAGGAATTTTGAACAAAGGAAAAAACCGGAATTCCTTTCACCGGAGGAGTTTTAACGTATAAAGTTATCTAATCAATAAATTGCGAAAGTTTTATTGTAAGACTAATGAGCTTAAGCATCACGAAGATCAGATTGTACTCTTTGCAGTCATAAGACCACGTTATACACGTGAACCAGATTAATTTATCACGTGAATTGAAAATGCCGATGCTTCCAGGATGCTTCCAGAATGCATACAGTTTAAGTTAGATTTCATGCACTACCTGACGTTGGCCAAGCACTGCTTCTCAAACAATCGTAGGTTTGTGCTTAGAAATTGTTTGATAATTTATGTAACATGCAATATTTTAAACCAGCGTTTAAAGTACAATCATGTTATAATATTACATAATGGTTGATTCAGTCATGTGTGTTCAGTCTCAACTGCTTTCTATAAGCTCAAGCTCAGTGGACAAAACTGATTTAAATCTCTAAAATAGAATTTACTGCTGGCTACATCATTGAATAGATGTAATTGATAAAACTTGGAAATCTTTAAGGATATTAAGTTTAAAAATAGATCAGTTACATGCAGTATCATTAAGATAAGTTCACTTTTATTGCAAGAAAAATTCTCTTCTTTACCGAGATCCTCTTATGTATATCCTCTTTATAAATATGTACGTGTGCGTATAGAGCACGTTTCCAGGTATGGTGTTTTGTAAACACCAGATTTCTATATATAGCAATAAATACCTGGAGCACGTTGTTTGGCTTAAAATTTTAATTCTGTCGATTGAATTCTCAACTGAAGATGGTTTCATTTTCTTATGTAAATGATCTGCACTATATTAGTTCTATTTAAAAGCCTGAGTGGCACTAAAGAATGGTGAAAAGTACTATCATATTTTCTTCTTCCTAAATTAATTGTTTGAGTTGATCAGCTCATTTTGCCAAAAATGATATGAACCCAAAAAAGGTTATAAATACAAAATTGTTTTTTATATAAAATCTGTTTAAGAAATTTCTAAGAAGGGTGAAATTTTCATTTTGATTATGTCATATAATTTTACTGATTTAAACTCTGTATTTGTGAGACACATGACAGCATGTTTTTAAGATGATATACATGTACTGTAACATGCCTATCGTAAGACACATATAACTATGTATGTATATGTAACTTTAACGAGAAAAGGTTAATATATCCGTACGTATTATATAAAAAAAATATCACGTTTTACATAAACACATGTCACAGAAACACGTTTAGAAAGAGAAATCTCTATTGTGACACTATATGAACATGCTATCATATAATAGGATTTAACTTATAATAGGATTTCCGGTTTTATTTAGCCTCGTGAGCTTTATATTTCCTGTGCGATAGTTATCAGTCTGCATGTCATATTACTCAGTCACCACTTTAATTATTATTCCATTATAATATTACATTGATATTTTTAAAGAATTTTTTTTTTGATCAAATGTTTGAAATTTAAGACAGATCGGTCAGTTAAGACAACTGATGTGTTTCTTGATTTTAATCTCAAAGTAAAATGTGTCCATTTAAATTATTTTCATTTTGAATGCCATGTTACAATTTACCTATGGTTTTCTTATTTTCATTTTGATTGCCATAATTTTACCTATGGCTTTCTTATATTTCTTGATAAGAAGGTGTTTTCAGTTTGCATGCCATGTATTTACCTATGGTTTTCTTATATTTCTATATATATATAGGTGTTTTTCAGGCAAGCTATCTTTTGAATGCTTAAAATGGCCGACAGGTCAGCGGCAGCGTGGCAACTGACCTGAATTGTATTCCCTTTGACTTTCTTATGCCACGTAACATAACATTTCCTTTAATGTTAAATTGTGACAATTTTAATTGTAAGGAGGTTCATTTCACTTAATATTTGTTTTCATTGGCTCATCTATTCATGGCATAAACACTGTATCGTCTTCAACTTATTACTGGTTCAATGCATATTCAGTAACATGCAGCTGAATATTGTTTCCTTTGACTTCGGTATGTGATGAAACTTAGAACTTCTTTTAATGTTTTGATACTGTATTGATTTCAAGGCAGTCCATTGCACTTCAACAATTTGTTCTCATTGGCTGAAACTTTATCGTCTTAAATTCAATGTTACTGGTTCAATGCATAATTTTCACAACTTACCTCGTTTTCTACATGTACTCGTACTGCCATTTGTTGAATGATTAGCCAACGTCAGATTTGATATTTAAAAGAAAAAATGATTGTCATGAAATTCAAAGCAGGTGGTCTATACACTTAATATATTGGAAAAATTATTGAAATGTTAATAATTAATAATGATACACAACACGAGTGACTGGATAGAAATGAAAGAGAATGGCACATGGTCTGATTGTCTTTCAAAATTATGAAGTTATTAGCAGATGATGCCATTTTTAGCTTGACTATTATATATATAAAAGAGGGAGCACTCTCATCATAACTTACAACTTACCTAGACATTGGTATCCACATCTGCATCATACCTAAATGGTGAAGTTTTTTTCATACCTATGGGCAAATCTTGTTAGTTTTTCAAAGTGTGACAAAAACCAACACATTGCTTAATTTTTGTGTTATATGATATAATTAAGTTTATAACACTTTTAGAAAATTATGTGTAATCACTTTTGTGGAAAAGAAATATAAATACTGATAAAGTCAAAGTAAAAGATTTATTTATTCATATAATGTAATTTGTATATTTCACAGAGTTTGGATTGTGTTGATTGTGGGCCGCAGGATATGGTTGACATAGTTCGATCACAAGTGTGTCCGCAGTGTTTGAGTCGTAGACGTGAACGAAGGGAGACAATACAGGAAATCATTGATACAGAGATGAATTATGGGAGAGATTTAAACATCCTTAAAGAGGTTTGTAAAATTCTATGACTGTATTAGATTCTTTTGTTTGTTCATATCGTACTGTTGATTCTCTAAAGTTATGTAACCAGCTATGTATGGTTGATGGGATTTTAGAGTAAGTTTTGGTTTTAGAGTAACCAAGGTTTTTAGTGTAAATACGATTTTAAGAAGTCATTGGGTACAATGCCTATATTAGATCATAAATATGCACGGAAAGTATAGTTTCCATTTTTTTTCTTATTTGATATTAAATTGAATTTCACTGAAATTCTTCTTCAATTTGGGCGAATTTAAAGGTGCACATAAAAAAGTATGTAATCATCAATTTTTTGGCTCTACATGAAATAAAACAGTAAAAAAGGTGTTGTTGTTTTTTGTTGTTGTTTTTTTATTTAAAAAACTTAACTATCACAAAAAAATTTCTCTGGTTTAACATGGAACAATTGACAATTTGAACATGTGTTGAAGAAAATTTGTAGAGAATCATTGAAATAATCCAACATACTATTTGTATTATGTTTCAAACATTTTTTCAGGAGTTTTATAAGCCAATAATAAAAGCCGGTTTGCTCAGTAAAGAACAGTTAGATGCCATATTTCTCAACTTGGATGAATTACTACATGTTAACAAATATTTCATCACAAAATTAAAGTCAGCAGTCCATATGGCCACACAGAATAATGACCTTGTAAGTGTAATATTCAATATTTATTTGGCTTTATGATGTATGATTATGTGGGACCTTTAAGTGGCCGACTTGTTAAGGTTGCTGCCATTGAATCATATGTCCCTGTAAGGCTGTGGGTTTGAACCCCCATGGACATTTTGGATTCTTTCATGTTGAAAAGATTCAAGTCCAGCTAACTTGGATGCTCAGTGATTTGAAGTTCTGTGCTCAGGTGCCTGAAATAATGTACAAAAGGACACCTGAGGTCAAATACTCCCAATAAATTTAAGTAAAGCTAATATGTTGCCATAATGATTTTAACAGTTAACAGTGTCTACAGTCATATTAAATCCCATAAATGAAATAAAACACTATAAACTTTAGGGTTCATAGAAATGTAAAACCTTTATTATTTGCTTTTTATACTCATTTGATCGATGACATTTATACTCTAGTCCCTAGTCATATTTAAGTGTCTCTTATATATGTGTCCTCTATATATGTGTCTCTCCTATTAATTAAAAGGTGTATTCTTGTAATAAATATCATTATTATTTAGTGATGATCTTATTTTTTTCCAGGAATTAGCAGATGTGATGATTGGTTCCATGTTTCTAGAATCATCAACAATGTTTCTAACTTTTGAAAACTATTGTGTTAATCAGGTAAATGATAAAATTATTTCACATAATATGTATTCTTTATTGACTAATTGCCTAACTTTAAATTGAGTTTATGCCTAACTTAGGTTTTTCCATGTCAACCTTTGGTTTTTGCATGCCATATTTATTTGATTTTATACCCAACTATTATCTAGATATAGTTATTATAAACTTATAAAATATACATTTTTAAAGTTAGTGCATACTTGCCTTAAATTACTTAAAGACAATCTTGAGTTACAAAATATAACATTCTTCCTTGCTTATTTATCATATCAACTGATGAAGCTTATAAAAGCTAAAAATGTTTTGATAAATTGTGTTAGTTTGATCTTTTTATCCTAACATACCACCAACAATTTCAGGCTCAAGCTCCGGTCTTGTTAGAACAACTGGAGAAGGAGAAAGAATTGTTACGTATATTTCTTCAAGTTTCGCAGAATGACAATCATCAGTTACGACGCATGCACCTCAAGTCTTTTCTAATGGTTCCGGTGCAGAGAATCATGAAGTATGTAAATTTATTACACTGTTTTCATTTATTTACTTACTATCTTTTATTTACCCCTAAAATCTATCAAATGAACTTGCCCAGCGTTGAAAATAGAACTGTCCATTTCTATTTCGATCAAGGGATATTGATGTCAAAATGCTAAAATAAAGTTAATGGTAATTGACTATCTGGTCTGACTTTCAGGCAGTGAAGCCTAGCTTGGCTCAATACTGATGCCCTACTCACATTGTCAGCATTTAAAGTGAAATGAAATCATTTTTTTAGATTTAGTTTATTTTTTCAAGTGTTTTGTTCAATTTTTTTTTTTTGTCAACCACAGGGATGAAGTTCAAATTTGCAATCCCCTATTTGTGAGTCAGGCATCCTATATCATATGGCTTTAAAGATTACATGGTCTTCATTTTGCTATTTCTCTGTTAATTGGATTGTCTACAAATAAATGTGATAAAAAAATCTTTAAATTGAAACGAAACAAATAAAAACATCACAATTATATGATATCATGTAAATACGTTTATCATTTCTTGATATAGTTGTGAGTCATGCACCCTAAATTATAGGGCATTAAAGAACACATAATCTTGCTTTGCCATTTTTCTGTTAATTGGATTGTTTACTAATAAACACGATAATCATCTTTAAATTGAAGCGAAAAAAAATAAACATCACAATTATGACATCACGAAAATGCGTATATCAATTCCTGATATTTATTATACGCCTATAAAATATAGATTGAACCGCTTTCCCCCCCAGTAATTTTTCCTACAGACACCTTAATATTATTGCTATTTATAGTAACATACGTATATAGTGAAATTATTGCTGTAATAATTATGTGGTTTGACATTTCAATATTATAACATTTCTTGGAAATCGGAAATGGTTTTAGCCATATATATTGCATCTTACCGAAGACACTTGTCAAATTATAGCATAATCTAAATATGTAGACTTGGTCTAAAAGCTTTTCATAACAAGTGGTGCGTTATTTAAATAAGGCCGTTAATTGATATTGTAGTATTCGAGACAAGGTTAACGATGACGTTCACGTAACTCATAACTTGATTCTTTTTTGTTAGAATATATGGAATATGATGCCATTAAGTTGACCAAAAATAAACATAACTTTATAATATATGTATATGATAATAATTGTGAATAAATGAATGAATGAATGTTTGCATTTATATAAGTTTGTGGATAATTATATATGAAAAAAATGACTGAATAAATAAATCTTATAATTAAGTGATGTTTCTATATTTTGTATATAATATAATTATATATCTTTATATATATTTGTTCCTTCTGGGGCTATTTGTCTCGATCTACTTTTTTCACCATATATGTGTATAATTATACAAATATATTTTTTTTCCAGATACCCATTACTGTTAGATAGACTCCATAAAACGACACCTTCGAGTCATTTGGACAAAAATTCCTTAAAAGAGGCGAAGGATAAAATTGAAGATATTCTCGGACATATAAATGCAGTATGTCAATTTCTTGATTTTTGTAGTTACGAGTACAATAATATTTGCGTCTGCAATTAAATGTTTTCCTGGAAAGGAATGACTTTTTCAAGGTTAGCTTTTTGAAGGTCAGTGGTTATACTCGTGTGTTCGCTATTCGAAATATTGTACAAATCTAAGAGAAAGTCCCCACATGACTTAGCAACATGGATAGTACCTTAAACTTGACTTTTTCAATATTGGCTACCATAAAAAAACATGATGAAAGATCGTATGATATTTATATTCTTGGTTTTATTGATGTATAATAAAAACCTCACAAGAAACTGTTGTTATATGATTATATTTTGATTGTAGAAATCAAGAACAGTGAGTTTCCGACAACGAAAGCCTTCCCAGAAGTCTAGTCAGCATTGTAGTGTAACGGAGAAGATCGAGGTATCGCGGGTTGCCTTGGAAACGTTACAGTGGAACCGTAAAGATGTCTGTGATGTGATTACTAGTCAGTTACAAATAACACAACCTGTCGACCATTTATGGGCGGCGAAAAAATGCAAAAACTACAAGTTTACGACCGTTTATGGAGTTCTTCTCACCCTTATGCAGGTATAAATTAAGTCATATGATTTTCATGTGTTTATGTCAAATCATTAGGTAATCATTAGTGTTAGCATTTTGATTTTAGTGGTGCTGAAATCAGTTTCATACAAATAGCTTTGATTGTTGCCATAACATCTCTATTTATAGATGAGTATACCTTTGATTTACTGGGTTAAATAGGATTGGAGGTCTATCAAAGAATGGAATAAGTGGGAGAGATTTTAGTTTTATGATGCAGAACTACTCTGAAATGGAACTGCTAATTGTTTATTTAAAGGATTTTCAACATCGACAACAAATTCAATTCCATAATGTTTAGATTCTGGACATATTACTGAAAACATAGAAAAGTTATAAATTAACACTGCTAAACATAGAGGAATTAAAATTAAGTAATTAACTAATGGTTTATTATTGTTTTTTCAGCAGCCAAATGAAAGAGGAAATGACAACGATATTAATAATATGAGAAACAACAATAACAACAACAATAACAACAATATGGAAAACACAAACTCTCGTGTAAAGAGTGCAGCTGTTGTCTTCATCAAGGAAAAAAGTGGACGTTACCAGGTGTCTAGAGAACCCTTCATGCTTGAAAAGTGTGTCGTAAGTCAAGACCCAGACTACCACGACGTTTTTGAGATATTAGAGTGGAGTAAAGAAGCTTTTCTAATTAAGGTAAGGACCGGTGTATTTCTGTATTTTACTGAAAATTCGCCTTGCATTTCTGTTAATCACTGCCCAGCTAAAGAGACTTGTTCATCTTTCAATCTGGACAAAACCATGCATGATTTTAAGGGAAAATTTCTGAGTAGTGAACAGACATAGATAAGTCTTTACATGTCTGCAATGGTTACATGGGTATATGCATTTACTGCGAGCACGCTAAGGTTTAATGAAAATACAATTTTTTTATTTATTTTTATCTAGCCCGGCTGTCAATCAGTTTATTTATAAATAATCCAGTAGTTAATAAAATTTAATAACAACTTATAAGTCTCTTTTATGATGAGCAGAAAGCACAAAAAAATGGAAATGGGGTGTTCTATGCAATAGTATTCAAAATCATTGTTTGATTTTATAGTTTAAAAGGTTAAGTAAAGAAAGTATGGGTTGAAAACGTGGTCAATTTTTAAAGGATATATTTCCTGATGTTTTTAATACCTGATATTTCCAGACAAGTTATTGTATCCTTAAATTTGATGTTTCCTTCTTTTTTTCTTCAAGGCTGACTCACCTCAAGAAACGAAACTTTGGGTTCAGAATCTTCGACAACAAATGAACAATCTGGGTGTTTGGAGAAAACGAAGAAATGCATTACCAAACATTTTGTTAAACCACCATTCATGAGTTGTGTACTTTTACCATGCGCGTGTGTGTGAACGAGAAAATAGACGCTGGAAGCCATTCATATGTGAGTGTTTGCAATGACAACGACACCTGAATCTGTGGAGAACAATCGGGGAAGAAGTCATACAAATGATTGAAGTAAACATGTTTTTTGTTTTAATCATACAGATTTTCTTACTTCCATGATTTGGAGAATGATCTCACAAAGTTGCCTGAAGAATAATGAAATATTTTGTCATACTTAGAGCAAAGGGGAAAAATGAGATTATAACTTGATTTATTATTCTTTACAAGTCACGAAGTGACAAATATTGAAAACAGTTTTGACACGAATCAGATATTTTGAATTACATAACAATTCTTGTGACCTTATCATAAACATATACAATATTTGCTTTTGATTAAATTATTTTGCAACAGAAACATTGGGATGGGTTCTCCCCTTATTTTTTGGCACCAGGTCAGATTTTTCATTGCACCATTCTCTCCTTGGAATTGATTAGACTTAGTGCAAATACATGGTAATGGACATTATGCAGACAGTACTTGAAAAACAGCAGATAATTTGGCACAAATGCAGAATGTTTTTTTTCCTTGCATGTTAATATCAATCAATGGACAGTATATCAGTGAGATATTGTATATACAACTCCATGTGTAATTTTTGCTAAAATAACTTACTGAACATCACGTTTAACATAATATTTTGAAGCTTTTTTGAAGAATTGTTATCAAATAATTTTACATGGCACCAAAATACAAAAAAGAAAACAATAAGATAAATGAAAAAAAAACAAGAGTTAAATATTCAAAAATAGTGAAACAAATTACTACAGTAAATTTCTTCATTTTATCAGTTGGTGGTGAACAGTTTGTTGAAATTACATTTTCTTATAGGCTTAACGCCAATGGTTGCTTTAACTATACAAAAAAATAACAAATTCAATGTTTGATTAAATTTTAATTATAGTTAAGTTAAGAAAGTATTGGAAAAAATAGAATACAATTTGAGATGTAAAGAAGGCATTTTTCAGACTTCACATAAGACACGGTGTTTGAATGGAGCAGCATTTGCATGTCATATTTTTCATGGTTGACATTTTTCATCTGCTCATTAATAAGATTGGTTGATTTTTCTGTGCAAAAATGGGTATAAAAGATACAAGATATTGTAATATTTTCATACTATTATTTGTAAGAAAATTGACAGTGATGACTGACTGTGATATTTATTGTGATGTAAGGGCAGATTTCTTGTAAATTTTGTTTTAGATATTTGTTTTAAGACTCATCATGGCATTTGTATTCATAAAGTTATTCAAGGATTTTCAGAAAAATATTTTTAAAAAATTTCAAAAATATTCAAAGATTTCAAAAAAAAAGATACATATTTTTTTTGATAGAGCTAATTTCCAAAGACAATCATGGGTTTTTCGTAAAAAATATTTTAGAATTTAAAAAGATTTTTAATTTCTTTTTTTAGATATTCAAGGATTTTTTAAAGATATTCATTGAAATTTTTTATAAAACTATTCAAGGATTTTCCAAAAAAATTCAATGATATTTTTTTATAAAAATATTTAAGGATTTTCAAAGATATTCAAGAATTTTGTCCCTATATTTAGATACTAAGAAATCTTGATGTAAATTTTTAGTTTTCATGTACAGCATGTAGATTTTTTTAAATCAAAAGTTATTTCAATAAAACTTTAATGATTTTAAATTCAAATTTCTTTTCTACATATGGTATAATAAACTATCAGCAAAAAATGTCATGGAGGGCCTTTAGAAATAAGTTGTTTTTTATATATGTCTGTAATTTGTTGTGAATTTCTATGAAGTTGACATGTTAAAAAAAGAAAAGTGTATTTAAATCTTGCCATGTAAATAATTGTGTTTATTTATTTGTACAGTTTTATGTTATAGTTATGATATAATATAACAAACCTGCCAAAACTGATTTCAAAATTATATACAGAGTGAGCAGTATGCAGTTGTTAACTTAATACATATTATTTAACTAAAAAATAATTCACCCGCAAGGATAGTACATATTTTGTTAAAGTAGACTTCTTATTTGGGTGAATACTGGTATTTCTTAAATTTCTATATTAATAATAATTCTTCTTGTATTAAGTGTTTTATGGGATGACAATGTTATTTTAAGTCCCTAGGCTGTACCTAGGTGAAGTCTGACCCAATCTAACTATTAAAAGTTCAGATCTATTTATTTCTTACAAATGTGGAGCATTATTTAGAGCTGATTTTAATCAGTTTGAATCTAAGCAGGCTTGTAACTGTTGATAGCTCAATATTTGTAGTATTTTCTTGGAATCCATTAATCCGGAAATAATCAGCTTTTAGGCGAATCATTTTCTAGAGTGTTTCAATAAAGTTTCCTATACAATCAAACTAAATCAAATAGATAATTGTAAACTAAATCATTTACACATGGTCTTTACTCTTTAGGTTAAGGGTTAATTATTAAGGAAAGATGTCCAAGAAGCATAGACAAATATTTGAATGTTAGTGGTGATTATCACTTACTTATTCTACCAGTATAAAAGTTAGTCCATGTACCCCTGCTTTTTGACCAGGCTCCATACTTTTGGCTGATAATTTTTCTCAATTTTTGTTCCTGAACCCTAACAAATTAACAGTGGATTCTTCCAGATTCAAAGATGGACGAGTCCATTTTACAAAAAAAGATAAAGTACAACATTGAGCGTTTACTTTGTGATATTAAAAAAAAACTATTTGCCTTTCTTGTGTCTTACATATGTATATGTTAATGATGAATCATTTTTTGTTATGTATATATACATGTATATAATATCAATTTCATTTTCAAGTGCTTTAAATGCATTCAGTATTTGTTATATATCTTGACAGATGAATATATTATTATTATAATGTTAAAGAATCAAATAAAATGAATAAAATTGTTGATAAACATTATATTATTGTGTTCTTTGTTTAATATTCCCTCGTTTTAGAACTGCTTATTTCATTCAATATAGATAGAAGACGTGCAGAAGACGTTGGTGTAAATTTTTCATCCGCAGTTATTCATTTTGTACATCAATACATACATTATTCATCAATATATCCGCAAACGTTTTTGTCAGCTGCAAAACTTTGATAAGTGGTTGCAATAACCTTAAGTAAGCAGCTTCACTGAAATTAAAACATAACCTGTTATGACCGGAAGTGATAAGCCTCACACATGCTCTATATTGTTGACAGCTCAATCACTGTGTTTTGTAGATAATTTCCCTTAATATTCAAATGAACAGTTACAAATTCAAATCCAGCAAGTTTATTGTATAAATACAGATTAAAGGTCAAACATTTGTTAGATTTAAAGACTGTTTATATATGTGACAATAGTGGTGTTTATATTAGTTATGGTCCACTCTGTGATAGTGCCCAGCAGTCAAGAGACCTGAAATGGTGTATTAATGTATCTCTATAGTGTATGCGTGTTCTATTTGATTGATCCTTGATAACATTTGGTCTTTGACCCTGTTTCAAAGTGTCAAAGCTTCAAAATGTCCCTTTATATAATGGTCCTACAAAATGCCATGCCACACTGGTCCTTGGTATTTTTGAAAACACATGGCTGCACTTTAAGAATGGTGTGCAAAATGTCTACCATTTACTATTCTATGAAAAGTTCTCAATCCCTTGACAAACAAATATATACGAGTCGATCTGTCGACTTTTGTTAGTTCAGCACAACTCCAGAACAATTAACTTGATATATAGATACATGGAGAATTGAACTTTCATTGGTCCAATTCTATAATCTCTCGCTCTTTGCAATATTGTTAATTACTGAAGGGAATTTATAGGATCTTGATAAAATAATGGCTATTACGAGAAGTGCGATGTCAAAGAACTGTAACTATACCTGGTCCCATATTTATCTCCACTTTTTCCATTTTTGCTATACTTTTCTTCATGAAATAAAATCCAAAAATATTTAAAAGGAGTGACATTCTTTTATTATCTCCCTTGCTTTTAGTACAACATTTGAAATTGTTCAAGGAATTTGATTGAACGTTAGCTCTAATTGCTCCCTTTTGCAATTTTCATGTCCGGCAAAAATAATTTCAAAATTGTTTAAGTTATTGACTGGAAATCTAAAGTTGGACTGCCGCTGTCCTGCTTGACACCTAAAGGAGTGTCCTTATGAAGCGGCGGGGAGAACTAGAAAAGGTGCTGGCTTGCCTAAGACAAAACCACTGATGGATGCCGACTCCCAGTGCCAACATAGTAGCCCTTATTGGGGCTAACTTTTCCATTATCGTCACAGGATAGTGTACGTTCTAAAATTCATTAACGGCTGTCTAATCATCAAATAATTTGTGCTTCAAAATTAACTCTTTCAAGGCATGGGGTGATATGTCGGGGACCTCTACTCTATATGTCTTATCATGATCTAAATGCATGTATGCAATAACTACAAAATATAATCTACATTTTTCCATGCGTATCTCTTTTTTTGCAATTTTCTTTTCTGGAGTACAACTCTAAATTTACTTATGGAATTTATTTGAAACTTAAAAATTTGATAAATGGCGACTAGGAAAAGTGATGTTTGAGGAAAAGTGATGTGTCAAAATATCTAACTCTGCCCGGTCTCATTTTTGAAAGGCGACAATCTTATTTCGTCGCTGCCCATAACAGAAATAAAAATATGCGCGTGACAATAAAGTTTGGTGCAATTTTTGTATTTCAGAGAAAAAAAAAATAATCTTTTGAAATACATCGTTTTTGGCGCTTCTACCTTCTTATACGAACATTAACGACTAGGAAAATGCATTGTCTGCATATAATTTGTATTGAATCTTATAATAAAATACAAGGTGTCCAAGAATGGACCAACTTACACCAACTTACACACATGGACGACTTCTCTGACAAGTGTGGTGTCTGTCCTTCAGTCTTTTCGGGCTTCTGAAAAGGTGGTAGTTGTATACACTCTGCCCTATCCACCTTGTGAGTATTGTGTCTTTATATTAGCAAAGCTCACTCATTTCGTGGAAAGACGGCCTCATAGTTTTCTTTGTACTGTTGAATATTAGTTTATCCTTGGTCATAGATCTTCGGTAAATAGCTTATTAGCTAATGTTTCTTGTAATATGTAAACCGACTTAAAATAAAGTTTCTTGTATCTTGTATATCAAATTCTATCTTCCTTTTTTGAAGTGGAAAATGTTTTGGTAACGAGTGAATATTCTGAAAATAAAACGTAGCGTTGCCCAGTAACAAAAGTTCCTGGAGGATTATAGTAATGCAAACCGGCCTGATTTTTTGGTATTTTGATAAACAAATCCTTTTAAATTTGAATGGACTGTTTCAAATTCAATTATACAAATTCAGTCGAATAAGGATTAAAATTTTATTTAAAACCAAAAGCGATAATTACAGTCAGTAAAATTAGCATTCTCACTGCATATACAATGAGAGACAACTCTAGCACGTACCTCAAATTTTTCTACAGAGGTTGTCTTTCTTGTACTGGTTTTAAGTGTGTGAGATTTAATGCACGGGAGAGGACCTGTTACACGAATGATGAAGTTCTTATGATGACTTGCTTGGAGTTCTTATGATAACTGTCACGAAGTTCCTGGAAAACGTTACGGATTTCTGTGGAAAACTTTTCTATATACTTGGAGAACTGACGTGAAAAATGGTCATTTTTACCTTTAAATGGCGACTTTGATGTGCTAAATTAAACTTTGATAATTAAGCTTGCCCTACATATTGTATTATGTTTGAGTGAGAAAAACCTTTTAGTCCATTTTCCATCGCCTTTAAAAAAAACTAAAAACATAAACTATTTGAATAAGCATTCTAAATAATAAATAACACAATTATCATTATCATAAAATATTTCAATAAACACTTCTTTTCAGTAAAACATGTGGTAATAAAACAACTGAAAAATAATTGAAACTATTAAAAAAGGAACACTGATATGTCATGGTTAATATCTAATACTATTACCCGAATGTACACGTGTGTGTGTGTGTGTATTTCAAGTGAGTAATAAGATTTACGTATCTTCTATCTTACAACAGATAGGAATATTTTATTTATGCATGTTTTCATCTCAATCATCTCGTTTCTCATGCTTTCTATGTAATTGCATATAGATTTTTGTTGATTACTTAATCTCATTTGTTCAAATACAACCTTTTGCAACAATGTCGTACACAATTCTGAATCACTGTTACATAAACGAGCTTTAAGCTCATCAACAGCAGTTGCCAAATCAGTTACCGATTTCTCCATGACCATTCTAACTTCACTAAAGTTTTCTGTATTATTACTGAAATCATTAGTAAATGATGGTATCATCTGTGTTTGATTCGGTTCAGTCTGATTTTCTGCATTTCCGTGAGCAATTTTCATGATATGTTGTCGTCTGCGTTTTATTGTACGTCTGTGATGTCTGGTTTCCTCCATCTTTTGATTTGGATCATGGTCTGCAAAAATGACGGGGATAAGTATAATATAAACAAGAGCTGTCGATATGATAGCGTGCTCGACTATTCTCAGTGCTTGATAGTAAGACAAGAGCCTGAATAATGAAGAATTTTCCGAGTTCAAAAGGGCTATTATTCTCCAAAAACGATCTTAGAGTCATTGACCTTGAACAATGACCTTCTATTATGCTCTCATAAAAAATTTGCGAAGTTTCAAAGTTTCGATCCAAACCCTTCAGTAGTTTTAGAGAGACCAGCTTGCATAAAAAAACTTAACCAAAGAGTGACGCAAACGCCTTGGTCAGCACAAAAGCTCTCCCAATTGTTCGAAGTCGAACTAAAATCTAAACAATATTTTTCATACTTGATATTTTCATATTCCTTTATATCTGGAGCGACATTTAACCAAATTTGTTTGTGATATTGGACGCACATGAATTTAAGATACTGTTGAGCTGCCCCAAACAAAATATTCTACTGTCACTTTAATAGGTTTGATAACCGGCGTATGAACACATCTACGGATGTTTCTAAATTCAAAAGTTTTCCATTTCATGTTTAAATGTTGAATTCTGCTTAAGCCGGTGCTTGGGGCGTGGACGGTATAGTTTGCACTTGACAGTACCGTCCATGAACATGCTCAATCAAACCGAGCCTGCAACATTTTCAATTTTGCCGTTTTTGGCTTACTTTAGGAATGCTTATTTTTTTCTAAATTTAGCCCGATTTCCCTTTTAGGTTGTTAACTTTTTTAGAAGGATGATTTTGTGTTAAAACAATTTTGACATTTCTCTACATGTATATCACTATAACATGTGAAAATTTAAAACAGACGGAGATCTTACATTAATTCAGCTTGAGCGACATTTTATAGTTCACTAAGAAATCATTCTTTAAGGAAATGAATTAAAGTATTGTTCATGGAATTTACCTCCAGCTATTTGTGACACTAGTTTAAACAGTTCAGCCAAATCACCCATACAAGATTCATTAAGAACTTCAATAAACACGTGATCCCAGTTTGGTAGGTGCTTGTCCACCCGGTCTAGGATATATGTTTTCGCGCCTATCTCATTTAAAGATTCTGCCTCGTCTTTCTCTGCCTCCGTTACAAGTTCTCTCTCAAAGATTTTGTCCAGGAAATCAGGAAGGTAAATTCTGCTCATAATTTCGGGTTTGATAAGTGTCAAAACAGTGCTACTGTAGTCGTACTGGGTTTCTGTCTCTTCCTTTAGAAGCATGCTTATGTAAGTAAATTCTGAAATTGGATATACATACATTTACAACATTATAAAGCTTTGATTTTAGTAGAAGTAAATTACAGGGGGAATTGCCGTGATGCTCATAGTTATGGATGGATAGTTCGCCTTCTGCAAAGCTACGTAACCATTTGCATAGACCCAACAATGTATTTAATACTGATCTCATAATCATACAAAAATACTAGTGTACTAGGCTGCAAAGATCACTCCTACCTTCACATTCCATCTGCTTTGCAGAATAGTTATTTGTGTGTAGTTAAAAGATGAATATCTAAATGTATATTGATCGCCTTTCTTTAATATCTTTCTCGCTTTGTACTTATTGACTTAACATATATTACCAGTTTCTGCCACTGCGTCATAAAAACATTGCCATTTTCCAGGTACTTCACTTCGTTTTACCATCTTTATCAGCAATTCCATGGCGCCATGTGGCGACTGCATATGTTTGTTTCGTAGGATTTCTTTATTTCTGTCGTCTACAAATTGAAATATATGTACAGCCGAAATGATATTTTTCAAGAATAATTATCTTATTTTGGGACCAACAATCATGTTAATATGATATAACAAGATACATTAATTAGCCAGCCTGCATAGCTCAATCGGATAGAGCGCATGACTTGTAATCTCGACATTGTGGGTTTCATTCCCGGACTGGCCAAACAGTCTGTCCCTCGTATGAATGCTTAAACACCTAGCTGGCTAAAGAACCAGGATAAGCTTCTGGCATTGGGGCATCTTTCTGCATCTGTATCTTGTACTATCCTCCAAAAATAGGAAACGACTAATACTCTTCTCATATGGGCAACCGATGGCGAGTATAAATAATCTCAAATACATACACAAAAGATATAACAGTACCAAACATAAGATCTGTTTTAAAAAGGTGACATACCAAGAAATGGTAACAGTGCCAGAATGTCAGTGACACGGATTTGACGGACTATCAACGGTTCATACACTTCTACCATGTATGCCATATTGACTGCCCGACATTTCGAACAATCTTTGGAACAGAAGTAACGGTAACGGTCATTTTGAGTTTGTTTCAGTCTTGTTTCTGAGGAACTAGTTGCGCTTGAGGCCTGCCCAGAATCTGTTGATGTTTCAGTTAGTCCACTGTTTCTTCTACCAATAATGAGCTGATAAGTATACAAGTTCAATGTGACAGATATTTAAGTACATTGCTAAGAAGAAGGTGATTTCAGTTAATACCAGGATTAACGGATTAAAGAGAATTAATGTATATATGAAGAAATTATACGACCAATTTATTTAAAGTGATGCTAAATGCAGAAATTTTGTAACCTTTTTTTATGAAAGCTAATATTATAATTCTAACAAATCAAAATGAATGGAGCATATTGTGAAACGTTTTAAAAGTATAAGTAGACATAAAATGTCCGCCAAAATTGTTTCTTATGTTATAATGTCAAGAATTATAGTTTGATATCCGCATCGTACATTATTTTTACCGATTTAAAATGAACTTTTGATAAAAAAAAACATTTGCTATCCGCATCGCACATTTTTAACGATCTAATATGTACATGAATGTCTTATGTTTACTTATAAATGATAACAATTACAAGATGTTTCGTTTCTTGCAAATGAAAAGACAAATTAATTCATACCTTAAGTTCTTTCATTTGATGTTCTTCCTTCTGACCCACAACATCAATAACCTGAAACAAGAATTTGAAAATGGTATATTGCTCTAACAATTGTGTTATATAAGACTAATGTTATAAAGAATAAGGTACATATTTTTGATCTGTTTAAGAAAATGGTTAGATAGCAATTTACTAAACCAATTTATTCCAACGAATTTGATCAATACAATACAAATAATAAGATGCTTATACCTCGAGCTCATTTATTTCATCGATTTCTGTGAATGAAACCTCCTGAAATAGGATAGAAAATGAGCAATATTAAGTAAACTCTATGACATAAATTGTACTCAGTCAATAAATTGAACTCAGACACCACAATAAACAAACGAGTGAAGAGCAAGATCTAAAGATTAAAATATATTTAACTCAGACACCACAGGAAAAAATGAAGAGCAAGATCCAAAGATAGAAATATATTTAACTCAAACACCACAACAAAAAATGAAGAGCAAGATCCAAAGATAGAAATATATTTAACTCAAACACCACAACAAAAAATGAAGAGCAAGATCCTAAGATAGAAATATATTTAACTCAAACACCACAACAAAAAAATGAAGAGCAAGATCCAAAGATTGAGATAAATTTAACTCAGACACCACAACAAACACATGAAAGCAAACTTCCACTGAGCACATTCCCTACAATATATATTAGCAACTATAAACACACCGGAATGACCATCGCATAGGAACATGACAAAATGTTTAAAGATTTAAATTAATTTGCCGATATCAAAACAGAAAACTTTAAGGACTGTGGATGCTCTAATGAAATTTTGTTTATAATGAGCCATATTTTTGTAATTTGCTTTTTAACTGTGTATACAGTGTCTGATCTAGTCCCTTAATGAAGGTACATATTTGTACTTACTAAAGCAGATAATCTATGGTATTTGCTGGATTTTGTTGAGCATATTTTCTGACTCTGGTATTCGGGGTTTTGTTTTATGTCACTAAGATTAGGTAAGGACATAAATGTAGCTCGCTTTTTCCTTTTCTCCAGTCGGGACATTGTGAACGTTTTGGCGTCGTTTGCATAGGCTTGTATAGATAAACTTTTCTGAAATAACAGTTTAAACACAGAAATGAACAACTGTCTTTCAATTATTTGAAGATTGCCACGTGTAATAAAAATTATGCAATGTGTTTGAATATTAAAACACGATTTTTGGCAAAATACTGAAATCATAACTTATAATTTCAGACATAAGCAACAGTTATTTACTAAATTCTTTGTTATTTTTTTCAAATATATGATGAATTTTTCCTATTTTTCTATACTTACATTTGACTGTTTATCATATACGAATTATGAGAAGTGAAGTGAAAAATCTACCTCTTCAATATCTATTCTTTGTTGATAATCACTGTTATTGGATTTAATCGTCCCAGTGTCCTCATGTAACATGCTTTCTCGTTTGGCTTCAAAATGTGCTCCATTCATTTCGTCAGTTGATTTTTTCTGCAACGTAATTTTTCAAATACAAATAACTAAAGATATATAATATCAAAACTATTAAAATTATCACAGCAAAAACGAATTTTCTAAAGTATGTTAATTGATGTGTAAAACTAATTGAACACTAAAGTATTTCTTACTTTTTTTTTCAAATATATTTAAGTTTGCAAGGAAAATATTTGGACACCATGATAGCAAATATGACTAATTTTAATACTTAGGTGTTTTGATTTAATAATTGTTTTGTTTATTGTTTTTTCTTTATTCATTGTGTTTTTTTCATTAACTGAATTAACCGTTTCTTTTCTCGCAGTGTTGTCAGAATTCTCATCTTCTGTGATGTAACCATAAACAGCGTCCGGTTTTCTAATAGTTCTTCCTGAATCAGGGATGACCGCGTGTGGTTGGTTCAAGAATACCTCACATCGTTTAAAATCAGACACTTTCATGTATCCCTGTAAACAGTATAATGTATCGTTTAAAGAATTGACATTTTTCATAAATCAATTCAAATTCATGCAAGTACATGTACCAATAATAGAAGTCATTATTAGAATCCCGAAATTAGTCAATAGATATTTTTGCCAATACTATTTGCATTTATTTACAGAATGTCCTTTCAATGCTTCCTTTCAATGCGTCCAACTAATTCAAACAAAGTCGTATGTAACATGTTCAGTAAAAGGTATCAATGTAAAGAACCCTTTCACCAAACAAAATAGCACACACACACACTTGCGCGCACCCACCAACGCACGTGCAAGCACGCATGAGAAATGATTCGCATTAACTACTTACGTCATGTAGTTGTGGCACTTCAATAATGATTTCCTCTTTGAATTTCTCAGTGTTTTCCTTCTTTTCTTGGACAAAATCTCCTTTGCTATCACTGGTTTCTTCTGCATGTTTCACACTTGTAGCGATTTCCTTCAATGTACAATGATGATGATCTTATATATCATTTGGGTTTTAGTTTTTTTAAAATTCATACTGACATGGAAACTTTCAATTTTACTAGTTGAGAAATACCTCGGGTGCTCCTCCGTACATTATTTCAAGCAAGAGTGAGGACCACCTACTTTCCGGAAGGTAACACATGAAAGAATACAAAGATTCTGGTGGCCTTGCACCAACAGCGACATGTGAGTCAACAGTCAATACTTTGTGAGTTTTTAAGCATTTACTTTGACCTACACTTTTTCTCAACTCAAATAAAGTGATCAACTAGATAATTCGGGTCTTGCTGATAATTCTTAGACATAAAGTAAAAAATCTGATGTATATGTCTAGATGATTTAAATATAAATTTAAGATGTAATGTTCTTTTAAATTTCTGAAGTGTTTAATATCAAGAACCATACAGTTTGAAACATAAGAGCATAATTACTAAATAAACTATAAATCAATTTTTGTCAGACGAAACCCATCCAAAAATAACACGATACAAAAACTCGAGTCTAAAATAACAACTATTGTTTTTACTTACATTGTTTGATACTTCAGAAATCACCTCCTTACGTTTCTTCTTGAACCGACATTTTCTTCTGAGCGACAGCTTGAAATGAAACATATTGTTCAAATTTAAAAATAATTTACACATTTATAATAATTTGGTGTTTGAAACTAAATATATTTTGTTGATACATAAAAGTTGTTAATCAATGTTCTGAAATTAACATTTCGTTTTTCAATTTTAGACATTATGAAGTAAAGAGTATATAGAATGCTTAATTTATCATAAATAAATATATTTATTTCAACATATATGTAAATGCACATGACAGCCGTATACGCTATAAAATAGAATATACAATAAACAAGTTAAGGCAAAGTCTTGTGAATCAACATATGTTTGTACCATAGTTTGGGGACCTTTCTCTTTAATATGTGTCAGAGTTAAATCGTATACATAAACGTGCACAGTGCGTTAACTGGAGTGCAGGTATTAGTTACCCGCACTCCAGAGCATGCTCATTAATTGGCTCATTCTTGATGGGGTTTACTTATTGTGACGGCAGAGAAAGGGAAATCGATAGAAATATCATATTTAGATGCTCGTTCATTGGTTACCTTTTTCTGGGGTTTCATATTGTGACAACAGGGAACGTATTTTTATTTTTGCCCCAGATACAAAAGAGAAAGAACATCAAAACACTCGGGAATCTGATTTATACTCGGGGGCTACGCCACCTTGTACAAATCAGATAATCTCGTGTTTCGATGCTATTTCTATTACAAGGATAACACAAAAGAATGTTTTAAAGTTTTAATCAAACAGACCACTGTGTCGGTTATTTCAGCTTTCTGGCCCCCCTTTCCGTTCATCATACGCTATTTAAAATTCTCATATATGAAAAAAAAATGTAGAACACTTAACGAACATGTCTTCATAATTGTTCACAAAGGCGTTTAGATGGAAACATGTGTTTCTCGTTGATAAGTGTTTCAACAGTCACCACCACTCTCTTTTAACTACCAATAAAAAACTTGATAGGCCATGCAAAGTCACGTGAGACCGATTGTGCTGTGAATCATTTATGTAAAATAAGGAACAGCTTGCGCACTCCTTAACTATTGCGATGTGAAGCATTTATGTAAATTAAGGAACAGCTTGCGCACTCCTTAACTATTATTCAAAGTAATATCGACCTTAAATCACGTAGTTTTTAGATGTTAGGTGTTATCTTTATATAATGTATAACGAATGTATGTATTTGACATCAAAAGGAAAATAAGGTCTATTTCGGTAAAGTTATGATTGAAATATGTCTTACAGTCATAATCAATTTAAAAATGCCTACTGATGTTATTCATGCCGTCCGGTTATCCTAACAGGTAGAGTTGGACTGTGAATCGGGCGACCGGGGTTCGATTCTCGGACCGTGAA